CATCACACCACTATTGATATTTCTTAAATTATGATTTAATTACGAAATGACGGCCCTCTGAGTTACTGATATACGTAGAAGGTATACCAACGGCACTAAATTTAGAGTCCTGAAATGTTGAAAGGTAAGATATTTGTAAAACAGTCCTTGAATTTTGTATTTAGATTTCGGTTTGATTGTGGTGGGTAATTACTCAACGGAACTAGACACGTGGAATTACGTATTGAGTTGACCATGAACATAAGCGTGCATGTATATCTAAATTGTTAATTTTTCCAGAACTTTTTATTCTGTTTTCACATGATTTCCGCTTCGTTACGCTCTGATTCCACATCGTTTGGATAATTATTTCCCACGATTCTAAAGCCGTGTTTTAAAAGCATGGGAAGCAATTACACTGTGATCCCTCAAATAGAGACGATTATGGCGATAATCGCTTGATTAATTCTTAGATTATTTAATTCCGCTGTGCAAGTAATACAGCGTTTAATGAAATGGAGCATGATCATGTTTGCAGGTAAGAATGTGAAAGCAGTGTGTCCCACTTAACGTGATACCCGCCACGACAGCATGTCGTAGCAGCAGGGAGCGAACGAACATATCCGTCGCTTGCTGGTAAGTGGGTTCTGAGTTACTTCGGACACCTTGTACTGCCCTGACATTCCCTAGAGGGGCTGAAAAAAATTTCTAAGCGCGTGTTAGCACCAGAATGAACAGGAAAGGAAGTTCGTATGTTCAAGGACAACAGATAACAGAGGACTGAGAGGTATGTTACGAGGTGCGATCGGAATGTTTCCAGTATTTTATTGGTCATGGAGAATTGCTGGAGAAATCCTGGAGAAGTTCTGGAGACGTCCTGGAATGTCATGTGTTGAAAAAATATTCTGATTTTTCCCCCATTCGCAGCAATACCACTGCTCAGACTCACGAACCGCCACTGGTTGAATAATAGGATGATTACTGAAAGATCAACTGGATGGAATATTTAAGGATCGGTCGGGGTATAATATGAGGTACTATTTCGTCATTCACTTATAGAGACTAAGGAAGACACAGTAAAAACATCAATCATCGTAGTTTCTGGTCCCATATTTGAAACGCGGAATCCCGGTCCGGGACCTACCGAGTTGAGTCGCGGAGTTAATCAGAGTACAGGCGATAATATACATGCACAAAATTATAATAATTTCTAATATTTTCACATAATATTGAACTTTCTTTCAGAAAGTAATTTTACCACTCTTGATAATTTTCCTTGTGGACCAGAGTTTGAATTCGGTCGACGTATGTTTCGATAGCCAAATCGATTAATACAACCAATATCGATTATAACAAGTGAACATGATAGCCAACATAAGATGTAGGTAGTGATTTATAGAGATGGTGGCATCGGCGTTTTTAAGAGTATATTTGAAAGTTATTGCCTTTTGTATTATAATACAATAATTATTTATACGATTTTTCGTATAAATATAAGCTTATATATTTTTACGAGGACACCATCCTTATTCGTCGTGTGACTTCTTCCTCTTCCCAAAGATGAAAATTCAGCTAAAGGGAAGGAGATTTGAGACGATAGAAGAGATTCAGGCAGAATCGCAGATGGTGCTTGACAGGCTGACAAAGAAAGATTTCCAGGGATGCTTCCAGGCTTGGCAGCGGCGCTGGGATCGTTGTGTTCACTCCCAGGGGAACTACTTCGAGGGTGATGGATGAATTTAATACCTGAGATAAGTGTACGGGTTTTTATACGCGCAGTCTGGAAACCTTTCAATCGCACCTCGTATATGCCGTTTTGTCGTGCTAGAGTCCAATAGCTGTCGGAACATTTCTGCCATGTAAATACATGCTTGACCAGTGCGTAGGATATTAATGCCAAACGCATTTCGACCTCAAGAGTCAGTTATAAATTCAAAGGGACGTGAAACAAAACGACCGTGGCCTATTTTAGATATAACGGAAATTTGTCTGAAGGATAGAAGATCAATTACCGAACATCTCGGCCAGTTTGCCTAAAGGTGTTCTTGGACAATTTCCTCTGTCTGTTATATTATAGCCGTTATCCAGTTGGAGATTCGAAACCGTTAATACGAAGCAAGTAATGTTGATCACTTAACTGTGGCGTTCTACAAAATATTTCAGAGTCCCCGAGTAATTAAAAATGAAAACAATTTAAGAGAATGTATGTTTCTGAAAAAGAAAGGAATGGCGATTATAAAAAATAAGTTCAGAAATTAACTCCAAGGATACGCTAACTTTAATAAGGCCTCATTCTTGTAGTGTGGTATTCGCATGGTGGCCTATGACTCAGTACGATACAATATCAACCTTTTCCTACCAAATGTTTATTTTTTAGTAAAGCAAACCTGCAGATATTATATGTATGCTCTCTACTGTACTGTCTATAACCGCTAGCTGTGCGAACAGGCTGACAAAGTAACTTGTTGACTCACTGACTGACTAAATAACTAACTGGCACAGTATCTTTCTACGTCTTTTGTAGGTCTACCACCGCAACTTTCGTTTCAATCGATTCCGTAGTTTAGATGCCGTTACGTACGTACGGACGTGAAAAACTGATAGTGAGTTTTCGAAACCCATTTACAGATTTCTTTCTGAAGGCAACTTATTACTTGAATTTGAGACCCTGAAGATGGGGACAGAGTTTGTTCCCGAAACGTCGGTTTACTACGGTAACCAGTTAACTCGGCTGATTGCCCGAGAAGGTCTTATTGAACTTATTACTTGTCTTCTTATTCATTCTTGAACATTTAACATTTCTTTTGTGTTCCTACCTGGCTGAATTGATGTTATCTTGACAGACGCATGTGGTCTATTTGCCGCATATTGGACATCCCTTATATGTACCACTTTCTCTCAGACGTAGTGATAGTTATCCGTACTTTAAAAACAACTTATTTCAGATATTATAAACGGTCCGCCCTCAATAAAAAACAGCGATTTTGATGTTATTAATGGAGTACATATTCTGAACTATTGGTCCGCGGACAGCTACCAACACCTAGGTCTAATTTGTGCTAATTCCAATCAGCTTTAAGCAGAAAAATTGCAATTTTCAAGAATCGTAGTCTTCACATAGTCATTTTAAGAAACTGAGAAGTCTTATTTCGTCTCTCGCATTCCTTATATGTTTGACGCTTGAGATATACGTGTTAATTCTTACTCATACAACGATGCATTATATGTATTGCTGGAAGCAGTCTTGTGGTCTCCCTGAAAATGGCATTAGCGCTTTTACGCTTGAGAAACTGCACAACTATTCCTGGATAAGTCCTAGAGTAGTGCCGGAGAAGTCCTGGACAGGTAATGCGGAAGTTCATTGGTCATGGAGAAGTGTTGGAGAAATCCTGGAAAAGTCCTGGAGAAATCGTGGGTAAGTCCTAGACTAATGAGGGAGAAGTCCTGGAGAGGTTATGAGGAAGTCCTTAAGCGGTGGTGGGTTTGATTCCATAAGAGTCGGATGTTTTGGATTCGTTTAAGTTTGATTGGGAAGAGTTACATTGGATTAGGATGCGTTTTGGGTTAGGTTGGGTTAGGTTATGTTAGGTCAAGTTAGGATTATATAGGTTAGCTAAGGTAATGTTAGGTTGCTTAGATTAGGTTACAAAAGGTTGTTTGTTTTGCGCTGGGTTAGATTGTCCTGGAGATTATCTAGCGTGTTTATCGGGTGGTCGTGGAGATGTGCTGGAGAAGTCCTGGAGAATTCCTTGAAAAGTCCTGGAGAAATTCTGGATAAGTCGTAGGGTGGTGTAGGATAAGCCCAGGATAGTTTATATGGAATTTCGTTGGTCCTGGAGAAATGCTGGAGAAGTGCTGAGAAATTTTGGATATATCCTAGAGTGGTGTACGACAAGTCCTGGATAGTTTTGCGGAATTTCATTGGTCATGGAAAAGTGCTGGAGAAGTCCTGGAAGGTTATGTGGAAGTCCTAAATCGGCGGTTGGTTTTATCCTATGCGGGTCGGTTAATTTGGATTCGTTTGTTTGATTGGCATAAGTTACATTGGATTGGGATGCGATGTATTGACCTAGGTTGGGTTAGGTTTGGTTAGGTTAGGTTGGGTTAGATTAAGTTAGGTTTACTTAGGTTAGCTAAGGTGATGTTAGGTTGCTTAAGTTAGGTTACATAAGGTTGTTTGTTTTGCGATAGGTTAGATCGTCCTGGAGATTATCTAACGTGTTCATCGGGTGGTCTGGGGGATGTGCTGGAGAAGTCCTGGAGAAATTCTGGATAAGTCGTAGGGTAGTGTAGGACAAGTCCTGGATAGTTTATGCGGTATTTTATTGGTCATGGAGAATTGCTGGAGAAATCCTGGAGAAGTTCTGGAGACGTCCTGGAATGTCATGTGTTGAAAAAATATTCTGATTTTTCCCCCATTCGCAGCAATACCACTGCTCAGACTCACGAACCGCCACTGGTTGAATAATAGGATGATTACTGAAAGATCAACTGGATGGAATATTTAAGGATCGGTCGGGGTATAATATGAGGTACTATTTCGTCATTCACTTATAGAGACTAAGGAAGACACAGTAAAAACATCAATCATCGTAGTTTCTGGTCCCATATTTGAAACGCGGAATCCCGGTCCGGGACCTACCGAGTTGAGTCGCGGAGTTAATCAGAGTACAGGCGATAATATACATGCACAAAATTATAATAATTTCTAATATTTTCACATAATATTGAACTTTCTTTCAGAAAGTAATTTTACCACTCTTGATAATTTTCCTTGTGGACCAGAGTTTGAATTCGGTCGACGTATGTTTCGATAGCCAAATCGATTAATACAACCAATATCGATTATAACAAGTGAACATGATAGCCAACATAAGATGTAGGTAGTGATTTATAGAGATGGTGGCATCGGCGTTTTTAAGAGTATATTTGAAAGTTATTGCCTTTTGTATTATAATACAATAATTATTTATACGATTTTTCGTATAAATATAAGCTTATATATTTTTACGAGGCATAAAATTCTATTTAATGTATTTATCTTTGAATGATGCTCGATTGGTGTTCTGTATGTCATGAGCCAATCAACACTTTGCCCGTTATTTTCTTAATTGGCTGAATTTTTATTTAGGATTGGTTAATACGTATTTTGAAAAAGAAAGGATGTATGGTAGTTTGATCTAGATAAGATTTCGAATCTTTGCGACACGTTAAATGAAATTTTAGAAGTTACATCGTTTATCACTGTGATATATGCAGAACATTTGAGTGTAGTAAAATGTCACGCCCATGGTAAGTGATACTCATTGAACTGTAATTAAATTATATCAAGTGTTATATTTATTTGTCAAGCTGAAATATGGATTCTTCTGTACATTATTTGAATCGTATCTTATTTTAAGGCTGCCTTCACTGAAAGAAATTGGAGGGGATGCTGAACGGGCATTTAAGGAGTTACATTCCTGTTGGGACAAAGAAAATCTCAGCAAGGATGAAAAGTGTAAAAACATTGCAGCAATTCGTCAAGAACTGTTGGTATAGATATAATCCAGTCATTAATCAATAGCCTATTTTATTTACTGGTATACAAAATGAGAATTAGCAAACATACTATACCATGGAATGAAACCCTACTATTTTAACAGATAAGTTACAAGCAAAGTGTGTCTAACATGCTCTTCTACAAGTGCCTGTTTGCACAATTTTCTTTTAAAAAATTTGTTGGTTAATTTTTCATCTTTATTTTAAAACGTTGCTTGTTAACTATAGTTTTTACTAAACAGTAACCAAAAGAATTGGAATTTTAACATGGACATGTTAACCTTTTCTCTTCCAAATATTTGTATGTGATTTATTATGGTAAAAATATTTCTTTGGTGGATGCAGATCTCCCACTACATCACTCAACTGTGATGACTTTCAGCCCACCACAGGTAAGATGAAAAGAAAGAAAAAACCTGGATAAGCATTTTAATAGAACAGAATTTGCATACATTCCTTATATAATTCAAAACACATGATTGTAGTTATGACTGGAATGGTCTTTGTCATATAAACTTCAGGAAGCTAAATTTAGTAAAGATTTATATGAAATGAAAGCATTAAACATTGAAGCAGGCTCTTTACTATTACATTATTTTCCTCTTTGTGTCCACACTAAACAGTTTCTGTTTATTAGAGGTAATAAGAAGAAATTATCATGTTTGTTTAATACTCTTATTCCCACATAGGAGTCAAGTGCTTTAATCATAGCTTTATGCTTTTACATCTATGTTTAGTCAATTATTGCAGTTCAAAGAAATTTTCTAACAGAGGTGACAGTTCTGTTTAAAACAGGTTCTATTTAAAATGGGCTTTATTTTAGCAAGTTTTGGCAAAGAGATGTGTGGTATTCATGGTATTTCATGATACTGCCAATGGAATACTCTTTTGTTATTTGGACTATTGGTTTTAACATTTTAATGTTACAGCTTTTCTGGCAAGAAAAAATACATGAAGGAAAGCTCAGTGTATTGAAGTATGAGGTAAAAAATATACGAGCTGAAATAGAGATCTGGTGGGAGAAGTGTTTCCTCAGTGAAGATGAGAAACAAGAATTTGAGGATTATAAATCAATAAATTACACAGATCAACTGTATGGTTGCCATGTAGAAGAATTAGAAAGACTGAAAAGAAAATTTTATAGAAATGAGTAAGTCCATCTATTATTACTGATATCTTAGTCTGTTTTCATATTGCATAAGAGTATTGCAGTCTGTAGACATTACTCTTGAACTAAGTTGCATTAACACATTCAGTTGACTGACAGTAATACCCAAAGGTTCAACACCACCAATGCCAAAGATCATAATTGGATCTAATCTTGTGCTAGTGGAATTCACTTCCTCCCTTTACAGTTGATTTTCCTAATCCGGATATCCTCCTATGTCCATTTTTAGTTTGAATATTTTTCTTAAACATAGACAACAACTGGCAAAGTTATTTCATATATCCCTTACATTATGTTAATTTAAAAGGGACCCTCTGAATTTCTCTGGAATTACATTTCCATTGACACAAAGTAATCTTGCTGGAAATGTTTCTCATATTGTTTTAGGGAACAGATTACATTCTTGAGAGTGCCTAATAATGAGGTCCTACATTTAATGTAGTTTATGGGTAGTTAATACTTAAGAATGTTTGACACATTGTGAAATGACTATTTTAGTTTTTTGAAGGCTGAATTTGAATGAAAGTATGCTGCATTATAACAGGACCCAAGAGGACATAACTTTATCAGAATGCTTTCAAATTCTTGCACTGCAGAGTTTTACTTTTTGTGATTTGTTTTAATATAAATATGTACAGCTGATCCTTACCAAACATTGCTTTGCAAACCACAATTTTGACTCTATTACTCTTGTGATTATTTCTTAGTATATAAAAAGGTATTGATATTCAGTCTGTATTGGCACCAGATAGGTCTTAAGTTTGTCATACATTGTTCATACAACCAATGTTTTCTAGGAACACAAAGATAATTTGTACATTTTTAATTCAGATTTTTGCTTGCACAAGAAAAATTTAGATACTTATCATTTGACTTGAAATAGTTTTATAAGATTTGCTAGCTTTCGGTATGCTAGTAAAATATATACTACCTTATTTTTCTGCTAGGCATCTTATAATCTTCAGCTAGCATAACTAAAGCTAGACTAATCTAAAGTAGTATTTTCTTACTGACACAGTACCATTGTAACTTCTTTTGATACCATGTTTGAGTAAGCTGTTAATATGCAAATACTGTATATTTTAATTAACAATCATAGTAAAATTAATGGTTCATTTATATATGACTAAAATTAATATTTTAATATCCCTAATGATTTTATGAAACTCATATAAAGTTTTTTGCAATAGATCTTTATATCTTCTAATCAAAAAACACCAGGACACATGGGAACGTGTAGTGAACATGGATAAACAGTTATATAATCCAGAGAGATTATTTCAAAATAGAGGTGCTCAATTGTTGCAAGAAGAGAGAGACAGGCGGGCTGCACAGAAGGTGAGTGTTAGGACTAACTATACTAATCAACTACGATCTTCAAACAGAGCACCGAAATCTTACATGACATGAATATAAAGAGATACACTACTGTCTAGACATTTGGGCTTCATTTTTGAGCAGGGGAGAAATATTTTTCTTTAAGCCTCTACATCTAGAACAGATATGGGACCTATCCAGGGATAAAGCAGCCAAGGCGTAAAGCTGGCCACTCACCTCTATCTAGTGCTGAGGTCAACCGTGGAAAAAATATGTGTCTGTTGATTTGCATATGTAGTATGGAAGTATATAAAATCATGCATACAAACAAACCTCAACTTAGGCCAGTTTACATAAAGCTAAGTAACTCAATTTAGATAATACACCAACTCTTGTGTAGTTAACGTGCAGTGTGGTATTACATAAAGTATGGTTTTATAAAGTGTGTCCTTTTATGCTTTATAGCAAACCATCGTTTTATGAATTGTATGACTTAATATGAATTAATTTGTTTGCCACCAATTATGACCTTGATGTCGAAACGCATTTGGCACTAAGTGTCTTTTCAAAATGTAAATAGTTTTGTTTGTATGCATGATTTTATATATCAATACACTGCGTGGTATGCAAGGTTTTAAGATTAGTATGGAAGTGTTGGTAAAACTGATTAAATTCATAAAAGTAACAACGTGTTTATCAACACTATATATAACTTTATGAACTAAGTAGTCATACAGTAAATGTTCATATTTATTCCTTTGTTGTTTATGCTTTGTTGCGTGTGCACAGATTTGTTACCTTCAGCTCTTAGCATTTTTCAACACTTTGCATCTCTATATTGTGCACAACTACAGATGTACCTGTGTTTTGAAACTGTGGTGTTATTGTGTGGATGCCACCATCCTTATCTCCTTTTTTCATTCCTAGTTAGTATTGTAAATATACACAAAATAACTTTAATTTTTGTTTCAATATCATCAGGATTTACCACATCTTGAAGAACTAATAAAGAAGGAGACAGAATTATTTGAACGTGAGCATGGAAGACCATTCTTAATATATGGAAAATGTTTCTCTGACATGATTTTACATCAGAAGGAGCTGCATAAAGAGAATCAGAAGTCACTTAAGAGTGCCAGGGTAAGTTGAATAAAAAAATGTTGTTTGCCTTCTTCTTTTTAAGGAAAAATGAGATTGGCATAATCATTTGCAGGTATTAAGCATGCTAATAACTTTCAAAATCGCCCTCGGTAGACTGGTGGTTAGTATGCTTGCCACTGGACCCAAGGTGTGTGGGTTCAAACCCGGCTGAGGTCCATGGATTTTTAAGGGTGATAAAAATCTGTAGCACAACTCCCTTCAGAGGGGAAGCAAAGCTGGCAGTCCCGTGTCATAGATTTTCGGCATGTAAAAGAACCTTACGAGCATGAATGAGATGTTTCATAAGCAAAATTCAGTGGCCATTTCTTGCCCATGTCTCTCCTAATTCTCTACTAGATGGCTCTAGCAGACAAAAATCAAGATTGAGTATAAATCGTGCAGAGGCAGTGGGCTGGTCACTCACTGCTCACAAATGCATGCTTCAAAAACTAAGAAACCTCTGGACATAATCACCCTGACAATACTGGGGGAGGAGTACAAATTTGTAAGTTCAGCATTATGCAGTTTTCTCCATGCCCCATTGTCTTCTCTCCTCCTGAACACCCGATTCTCAAACACCTGCAATCTATGTTCCTCCCTCAGAGTGAGAGACCATGTTTTACACCCATACAAAACAACAGGCAAAATTATTGTTTTGTATACTTTAATCTTCAGGTTCTTAGAAATCAGGTGGGAAAACAAAATATTTTAAACTGGTAGTATAGGATACTGTATTAGTAATATTATTGCCATTGCTAATAGGTGTTTTATTTGTGTGTATATAATTCTTAGTAGGGATCTTGTATTTTCTGTTAATAAGGCTTAAAAATATGCAGCTTTTTTGAGATAATTCTTTGGTAGAATGTAAAGCAACAAGATGGTAGCCATGAAAATCTACATTTAGTTTTTTGTTTGAAGAGTTTCTTCTTCTTCTTCCTCGGTGCAACAGCCTGGTGTGGGCTTTGGCCTTCCTTCCCATTGGAGCTAGGCATATTAAATTTTATATTGAGACAAATTTCAGATACTAACAAATTATGTATCAAACACTTTAAAAAAGAACATATAACTGTTCAGAACTTTGTTGTTGCATCAGGCAAATTTAAGTCTGAGCCTGCAATTATACAAATGTATCACTACATTGTGTACTTATTATTCTTTAGTTCTTGCTGTCCCTACCATGCATTCTAATTTCTTGTATTTCATTTGGGATCTTAAGTTTGCCAGATTTAATTATGGTTTGAGGTTTTGACTGAAAGTGAATGTTTGGAAAGTACAAATTATGAAACTGCACATGTTTTTAAGGGGAAAATAAATTGCAACTCCATTATGGATACTGTTGGTATTCGTGTGCCGTCAAGGCAAATAAGAGAATTTTCTACGTTTTGCGTGTGCGGTGCGCTTAGACACAGTCCTTCAGCCAGGTGTGTCATTGCTGCTAATTATGTTTGTACATTCTTGGACATTTTTGGTATAATCAATGTTTCTTTTGATGACACTTATTCCATAAGGGATAATACCTAGAGTGGATCTTATTGGTTACTTTTGTACTTTAAATTTGCTTTTTATGTTATCTATTAAGTTTTTAATGTCTTTTTTTCTTCCTTTTTCTGTGTTGTCTTTGTATATTGTTTGTTTGTTTGTGTTGCCCTGTCATTGGCTATAGCAGCTGTTATTGTTTATTGTTCTTTTAGTATTAATGAATTGAATTATTATATTACTTAGGCATATTAATTAGCCCATTTTCTTTTGAATTATCCCTCAATAAAGGATTGGAATTTAATTATTATTATTACTAATATGATACACTTTTATATTTAGTTTCATTTGTTTGATTTTGTATTTGCAATGTTTTACTTTTATTATTATTGAAATGAATGTAATCATTGTATTATATTTTATCCTGTAATGTTGTTCAGTGCTTGACTGTTATTGGCCTTACCTGGCTGTTGTCAAGCACTTAAATAAATTAATTGAATTGAGTTGAATTATTTAATTTTTATCAGTCTTGTTAATAAATCAAGATATAAGAAAGAAATGCTGGTGATGAAATCTTGTAGAAGCAGACTGCATGAGTTTCAATCTAAAAAAGTTACTGAACTTATATATATTATTTATTTATTTTTTCCCGCTAGAAGAAGTGTGAGAATTGCTGTGCTCCTTCAAATGCAGCTAAGATGACAACTTCAATATCCAAACTGAAAAGGAAACTTGATAACCCACCCAGTCCAGTTGCAGTGCAGACTAAACAAGCAAGGGTAGCATCATGTGACAAACTTGGCTCCCGTCGTGGTGAAGTCTGTGGTCCAAAACTTCGCTTGGTAACTTATTAGTTTTTGCCCAGAGTGAATGAGTAATAGGGAGGCTGTATCTCTTTCTGTATCCATTTGGAGGTGTTGTAATGCCTTTTCAGTGTAGATAACTAAAGACAGCATTGCATTATTACAAACTGTACTTGTTTCCTTGATTGCAGCCAGTCCGACGGAAGCTGATTGAGAGGACAGTTAATGTTCCTGTCATACAACCTTAACACAGTCTTGTATTTCACTCCAAACCATTTCAGTTTGGATTCATACAGGTATTGTTCATACATAGTGTTCATGTACTACTGTTACTTTATGATATCTTACCTGTGCTAAAGGAGACTGAACGTGAGAGTGGGAGGGCAAGCATCTTTAACTCCTTTTGACAGTTGATGGTCAAAACACTCCCTCTAATAAAGTAATATTTCCACTTGGAGCTAATACCACTATAAAACATGAAACTGATAAGCCTAGTCACAAAATTTTATGTAAATGGGTAAACAGGTAAATGTAATTATGATGGAAATAAAGACCCACTAGTTACAAGGTTACTTTTTTCATGTGCACCATTACTGGTTATGCTTATAATGGCATGCAGTACATTTGCATAACTAGGCCTCCCATTGGTCTGCCTACTTTCTCATGCCAAACTGCTAATCACATGAGTGCAGTTAAGCAGGCAAGGTATTTTTTTATGGAAAGTAAATGCTGCATTTTCTCGAATACTCCAAGCCCTTGAATAAGTTATACATTCCATTTTTAAAAGATACAATTGAAAAAATTTGAATTTATTGCAGTACTAAAATATACCTGAAGTGTACATATTACATGGTAACTTGAAATTTGAACACAATGTTCTTTGTTTATTTCAGCTACAACCTTATACTTTCCAGGATCTGACACTGCACAATATCAAAGTAGTGTGTGTCAATGTCTCAGCTTTGTTATTGTCTCAGTACTCAAATCCTACTTCATCAAATGAAACATAAACTATGCAAGATCAAGGTAAAAATATACTTACAATCACTCTTCTCCATTGCACTCAACTTCTTGCCCACAAAATATCATCCATCCCTGGACTGTCTTGTAACTTTGATTCTAAATTCTAACAATGCTAAGGCCTTTAACTAATTTCAGTTGATACTATGCATCTGAACTGTCACTTCTCATGTATTTGTGAATATTTTCTTGTATTTCAGAATATTTCACTTTGTGGCCATGAAAAGCCTTCTGACCACCACTACTTTACAGCACCAATTCTTTATTCTTCCTCCAGATTTTAATGCAGCCTTCATTAACATATTTCTAATTGTCAGATTGTAAATGCACGCCTTTAGTATTCGTGTTTAGAAGAACACATGCACGGAACCTCACATACTAATATTAATGTTAATATCCATCCATACACTGCAGCTGCATGTGGCTTGGCATATGGGTATGCATAAGGAAGAAGAAATCATGAAAATTACGATGGCACTTGGAATGAGCAGTATTATTGACCTCGTCATTAGTTAGCTGCACACCCCTATTTTTGGTAACTTCTTTTTTTTAAAGAAAAAATTGGGTGGGGTATTCGAGAAAACATGGTATTATTGACAGATACGTCAATGCTGTATAGTCTGAGCTACTGACAGTGCTGTTAAGTAAACCACAAATGTATATATTTGTTTACTGACTGAAATTGTAGTACATATATGTAGGTAACAATTAGATAGCCCAAGCTCTTTATATACCATTTTCCAAACATGATTCCAGAATCTCATTTCTTGTGTGGTTCTGTAACTGGAACTGGTGATTGTACAATACACATTATTCATGATCTTCCCATCTCATTTGACATAACCTATGCAGATGAAACATAACCTAAGAAATTTATCAGTGATTGCTTATAGATGTTTAATTTTGTATCTCTTTTTCTCCTTACAGGCCATAACAGTAACAATTATGCACATGCCTGAAATATGAGGAAGTTTTACTTTTCAATTGGGTTTAAATACACTGGTATTAAATACTTATATTAAATGTAAATGTAGCTCTTTGTCTTTAAGTCTGAGAAATTAGTGTGAATTGGGTGATAATTCATTCACATGAAATCTAGGACAACACCTGTTTTCTAGATTTTGTGCAATTGGATTATTGTTAACTTTGTAAATTAGCTTTCCTTTTAGTTGAAACAGATGAGACATCATCATGGTCAGCATGCTAAATATTGTTTTTATTATGACAGCACTGAATTTAAATGAAATAATGTACTTTAACATCAGTGACATGAAACTTTGACTTCTTGTATTCAACTCGATACCTTACTCGAAAAACAACCTACAATTTTAATGAAAATAATTATATACTGTTTTTACCATATCAATTTTCACACTTTTTATTTGTACAGTTTTTGTGTGTCACAGTGTGGCAGAAACATGTGGTTGATTTTACATAAAATATGAAGTTTTAAGGAGTATGCAAGTGTAATGAATATTTGCAAATTATGCAAGAAAGTAGTATTTTCTGTCAAGTTACTGGTGAGATATACTATAATACAAGAATCCAAATAGATGTTCATCCATTCATCTTAACAGACCAGTGGTGAGAACACTTGGCCTTGATCCAAAAGTATGGATGAATGTGTTTAGTTGTGCAGCTAGTAGATAAAGTATTTCTGCTGCATTACTATAATATGTTTTCCATCTTATTTAACAAAAGATATTGACAACAATTATGTTGTCAATAAAGTACCACAGGGTTCTGGAGAAGCTTGGAACTTCCCATTGTTGCATATCAGAAGAGTGAGGAATTCTGAAAGAAAAATTCAGATTCAAACAGTTTTGTCAGATAACTGGATGTAGACTGTGTAAGTGTAGGCAAATATGTTACCACTACTTCACAATTACTGGTAGATAACTGAAATTACTGCATGCCATAGCAGAGGAAAGATACTGTGCTTAATTTTGGCAGGAAATAAAAGAAATTTGCACATTTCATGTTGAACAGCAATGAGGGAAAGCAAAAGAAAGATAGTGGACATGAAATGAAAGGCTGGTTTCAGAGACCTAGACATTAAATAAGAAAATGTGTAACAATTAGTTATACATTCAGCTTTTACCTGAGATGAAGCCCTCTTTAATGAGATGCTAATAATATTTTAGATTATTGCAAATACAGTATGTATATTCTTCATAGTATATTTTAAAAGTCAGATAAAGTGATAATCCTAATGTGTGCCAAAGTTTGATTCTGTGAAAAACAGGTGAGATAAGATTGAGCATTTGATTGACTGTGGACCACATAAATTCACTGTTCTGTTCACATATTGATTTTATAGAAGAGAAATGGAAGACCGATGATATTCAGTGAACAGTATTTTGTGGTAAGTATGAACTTTCATCTGTGCCTAAGCTCCACACAACAGAGGCATATAGGGGTTATGTACATAAAGAACTGCCCATTCTAGATCTTGGCACAAGACAGAGGCAAGTGATCAGTATTGCACTTCTGTTACTTTACCACTGAGGAGAGCATCTAGGATACTTTGGAAACATGGCTGGTGCCCCACAGCTGGTTTGGATGTGGTGGCAAAGACAACACTCCTGCCCCTACAGGTAATCGAAGCCCAGTTTATTCATAGTCAGCCATTTCATAACATGATTTCCGTTATCAGTGGTCTATATGTCTATCTTGCTGATTGCTATATCTCATTGTTTAATAG